TTTTTTTTTTTTTTTTTTCTCCTGGTGCCAGGGATCAAATTCAGCACCTTGCACTTGCAAGGCAAGTGTGGTGTCACTGGGCTAAATCCCTGGCCCTAAAAAGAAAAGTTTTAAAAGAAAAGTTTTTTAAAAAGGTGGAGGAGAGATAGGAAAATCTGCCCATGTCTTTCCTCCTGTTTGCCAGTAGCTAGCCTTCCAAACTACATTAATGTTTTTCTGGCATTTTCCTTAGCAAAGTAAAGACATCACCAGAGCAGCCTAGTCCATAATCCCATGCTTTATCCTCAGGGCAAAATGTCTGAAAGGTTAAAATCCAAATTCTACCCCCAGTGCTTAGGGAATGCTAGTCCTATCATCAAGTGCTCTTCTTTTTGTGCTGCTTGTCAGTGCATCAGTTCATGGCCTGACTAGTATTTTGTGTTGGCAATAGTTGCCAGTCCTTGACAAATTCTCAGATAATCTTAGGAGAAATTTTTTTAGAATTTTAGAATCTCAGAGCTAGTGGCGACTCTTTTGGAGTCTTAACTGCCCTCATTACATACAGATCCATTGCTTGGGTGGGGAAGGTGCAGGTGTTAATCAGATTGTTCACATGTGTGAAGGAAAAGCTTAACAAGCAGTATTGGTAGGCACCATTATTGCGCTATGAGTTTTATATTTGTCATTTCTAATGTTGCCAACCTTCCTGTAGGTTTGGTTTTCTGTCCTGTTTCACAGGTGAGGAAAGCAAAGGTCAGAAATGCTGATTTCCTTGCATAAAGGTGTATGTAGGTAACCAGTACTAGCAACCTGGCTACAGTTCTTAATTCCGCCTTGGAAAGTTCTTCAGTGAAGAATAAAGAAGTGATTTTAGTTCTTTACCTCTTTAGCTACTTCCATTCTGTTTATGCTTAAGAAATACATGTATTTTTCCTGTTGCTGCTCGTCAGTCTACTTGGAATGCTTCTAAACCCAGTTAAGCATTATTCTCTGAGTGGTCTAAGCAGGTGCCAGTCTACAGGCTGCATGGTGGCTGGTGATACCCCATGCGATTCCTTCCCACCATCCTTCTCTCCATAGCCCTGTGTAGACTGATCTCGACATAGGAGTGAATCAGGCCTTATTCTGTGCATTCGGTTTCTTCTAAGCCCTGTATGCTTAGGCTGAGTTAGGACAAAAGTCTTGGGGTTAATAATGTTAATTTAGCGGCCTTGGGGGAGGTAGCCAGCTGTTATATCTTTGAAATTACCACTAGCAGCTAATTCACAGAAGAGAATCTTCAAAGGAGAAATGAAGAACTATACTTAAACCTTGCTTCTGAGCTAAGGAAGTTGGCAAGTATTGCCGGTACTACTATTTATCCAGCTGAAGACAGCTTAGCCACTTAAATTCAGACTTGGAGGTAGCACCTTTTCTGAAAATTCACTTGGCAATCTGCCTTTTCCTCGAGATACTTATGATTTGGAAACTTAATAATGGTAGAAAATTTGAACACAATGCAGTCAAGGTATTTTTCATATTCTGTGGTAGAATTTGAGTTGGGCATAGGTTAGCATTATTCTGGTATTTGTTTAAATGTCCACATTCTCAGCCAGGTGTATTTTATCAGATATATTTTTTGAGACAGGGTCTCACTTTGTAGTTAGGCTGACACTAAACTTACTACGTAGTCCAGATGGTCACAATCTCAAGATCCTCCTGGCTCAGCCTCAAGAGGGCTAGGATTATAGGTGGGCACCACCAAGCAGAGAAGATTTTTTTTTTACCAGAACACAAGAGAACTTTCAGTCTCTGGTAGTGATGTAAACATAACTAATAAAGACCAAAACTGTCATTAACTTAGCAAATAGTGTGAAGCACAACTTTTAACTGCATACACAAGCCTCTCTTTTCCTTTAATCCATCAAACAGATGACCTTATTTCTTGCCCTCAAATGCTGTGGATCATGGCAGAGCTGAAAAATGGTAACAGCAAATAAAGTCAAGCATAACGTTCAGTCAGCCCAAAGTTCAAGTAACTGTCCCTTTCTTAATTTAAAAACAATTTTTTAGGGCCACAGATTTAACTCAGTGGTTCCACTGCCTGCCTCAGAAGCACAAGGTTCCAAGTTCCATCCCTGGTACCAAAAAAACAAAACAACAAAATCATTTTTTAGCTGTTCCTTTCTTATGGAGAACAGATAACTTCATACATTAATTTGTCAAGACTTTTCTAGGTGGAATTGACAAAAGAGCAAACAAACTTTAAACTGGTAGGTGCAAACTGAATGTATTAGCTAATATAAGCCAAGAATACAAAAGTAAGTCCTAATTTTATGCCCAGATGCTTCCAGGGGCTCAGCTGATAGCATGAGAATTAGTCTTCCTCTCTTCTCTTTCCTCTGGAAGATTCACTGCGCTCCCAGTTGCTTTTCCCAGTAGGCCCAACAGATGCCCTGAGGTTGAGGATCATTAGACCAAGTTGGTTCATAGCCCTATTCCCTCAACCAGGCACTGTGCTCAGTTTGGAGTTTGATGTGTGAGCTAGGAGTGAAATACATGAACTGAGATGGATATGGAGTGGTTCCCAAAGAAAACGGAGATTTTCTTCCCAGGAGAAAGGAGAGGAAGACAGCAGATGTACAAATCAAATGAAAGATAAAATTATACAGGACTCTTGGAGGCTCATAGTGTCTGATGTTTGCATAGTCACTGATGCCTAAGATTCTGTCCCAAGTGTGCATGCTTCTACCAAGGTGCATGCACACAATTCTCTCTTGTGCCCCTTTCTCCTCCCCGTTGTAAGGTACCTTCTGGAACAGGTGGTTGTGATTTAAGAATCTTGTTACTGTCTGTGGCTATTACAAGAATTGAGAACATATGAAATAGCATTCTATACTAGACAACCTTTGCTCTTATTTACTGTTTTACTTTTTTTTGATAAGATTTTCATTTCAGGGGCGCCGATGTGTGCTGAAGGATTGCTGCAAAATCCTTGACAATACAGTGTTACCTCCAGAAACTGTGGTTCCACCATTCACTGTCTTCTCAGGCTGCCCAGGTAACCTTAGTGTTATTTAAATTCTGCCCAGGTAACCTTAGTGTTATTTAAATTTCTATCACAAAAGGAGTTCATGCAATTTCTGTCTCCAATAATATGATGTAGCAAATTAAAAAATTCTCCCGTTACAAGGTACCTAGAAATGCTATCTAAAATATGACAGGATTATTTTTTTTCAGTGCATAAGGTTTACAAGGATTTAAGGATATTACATGTCACCGGGCATGGTAGCATACATCTATAACCTCAGCACTTGGGAGGCTGAGGCAGTAGGATTGATAGTTTGAGGTGAGCCTGTGCTATACAGTGAGAGTCTGTTTCAAAACAAAGCAAAACAAAACAACAATCACATTTAATCAAAGGTCAAAGAGGAACCTAAACCCAAGGTATAAGACTGTGGGGTTGATGCTGTCTTCCTAATAGAGTCGTTTAGGATGCAATACTCATGTGGGTGCAGGAGCTAAACCCTGGCCAAGAGAATGTCAGACAAGGGGGAGGGTTTTCCGTCAATCACACTCTGGTACAGGGTAAATTTGTTGCCAGGACATGTTAAATACAAAGAAGCATTTTTCTCTTGGTCTGGGCTCTGGATGAAAAAAGATCTTTTTTAGAGAATTGTTTACTGTGGATTTACCCATACATTGGTTGGAGGTTTGAATTTAAACTTCTTGAATAGCTCAGGAATCCCCAGGCATTCCTAGATAAAGCATGGTCTCAGTCCAGTGATGCCTTTAGGGTGCTGGGAAGAGACAATGAGTGACCTCTCAGCCTTGGGTGAGAAATGTCCACAGAGTGAGCCCCTGTGAGCTCAGAGTTCCAGCTTACAAAACATGTGAGGACACAGAAGTAAATATGTGCTCGCCACAGAGAATTTAGAGAACACTTAAAAAACAGAAGGAAGTGGGCCAGGGATTTAGTTCAGTGGTTCTGCCGCCTGCCTGGCAAGCGCAGGAGTTCAATCCCTGGTACCAAAAAAAAAACAAAAAACAGAAAGAAGAAAAATCTCCCACCCTCCAAGACAGTCTCTTTTCTCCATAGTGTTTTTTTGTTTGTTTCGAGACAGAGTCTCAATGTGTAGTTGAACTTGCAGTGATCTTCCTGCCTCCACCTCCTGAGTTCTGGGATTATAGGTATGTGCCTCCATGTCCAGCTTTCCTGGAGTGTTTTACACAGTTGAAGTCATGTAGCATATACAGAGGCATATCACAGATTCACGGTTGGAAGATGATGTGAAGAGAAAGATACAACAGTACATGGAGTCTACCATTGGGTAGTTAATTGCTTTTCCACCTTAAAATCTAATCACTCAGATCATTGAATATGAATTTCAGAGAGTTACAGAATCATCACTTAGGCTCTTTGGGGAGACAGTCTGTCATTCTGCCATGTCATGCATCTCTGCTTTTGCAGAGAAAGAGACTCATCCCCATGTCGGAGCCCCACTATGAGAAAGCTTAGCTATTCTTAGCAAGTGATAGATCAGAACAGCTCCAGTTGTTTTAAGCGAATATCAGATGTGCATTTCATCCAAAGTGAGAAGGGTATTGCCTGAGAAATATCTTACTCTTTTTCAACTTACTCAGTTCCTCAGCACCAACTTAATACAGTCATTGAACATCGATAATACAAGGCCAGGAAGCACTGCTAGGTATTTCAAATGCAAACAGTAACACTCCTTTTGGAAGTTCTAATAGAGGGCTCAAACTGCATGTGACCTAGTATAAATGAGGAAACAGCCTTGGAGAGGTTGCATTGTCTGCAGTACAGGGCTCACTAGTGGGCTGGCCTTGACCATCACGGAAGGGCCCTTATTCAGGGTCTAGTCCCTTTGGCGTTGTGACTGAATGCCTGCTGTGTTTCTCTTCTGTAGTTTCACAGAGAAATGCCAACTCATTGAGCAACTTGCATCTTTTAAACTATAGACAGAGGGTTACAGGAAAACTGGCATGTTTTTGGAGGACTTCACAGGATGAAACTGAGTTATGGGACAAAATGAAAGGGAAACCATCCGGAAAGGCTTTGGATCAGGAGCCAGGCTGATAACACAAATGATGGAAGTAATAATCCTTCATAACTGTCTAATATAGATCTGTTATCGTGAGATAGTCTGATGTTTTATGAAGAGCTAAAAATTGGAATTTTTATGTGATATTTCTGTGTTTTGAAAAGTTTTCTACTAATTTTAAAAAAGATTAAATATACAGACCAGACATATGTCAAACAGGGGAATGCTAATTTTCAGAGTGGCCATGACACTTTTGTATTTTTTAGACCTTTTTTTCTCTCTTTTTTTTTTGGTACTGGGGATCAAACTTGGGTTCTTGTGTTTGCGAGGAAGGCGGCAGAACCACTGAGCCAAATCCCCAGCCCTCTTTTTCTCTTTTGTCACTTACTTTGTATTTGTATATACATGCAGAACATATATTTATGAATCTATAGGTGTGTGGATATATGTTTGTATATATAACATGGATATGTGAAACTGTTTACAGCTAGAATCACACTCCATGTACTACTCTCTATTCTGTTCTGAAACTAGCTTTGTTTAACAGTATACCTTGGGTGTCTTGTCAGTGGGTAGAGAGCCCCCTCTTTCCTTTAATGGTTACAGGTTTTTCACTGCATGGATGTCCCATGATGTATCTAGTCAGTCCACTGGTACAATGGATTGTTAGAAGTTGTACCTTATGTTTCACTATTAGAAACTTTGCTTCATTGACATTCTTGTACATATATTGTGCAATTGAGCAAGATTATTTCTGAGATAAATTGATTATTAATTAATTAATTATTTTTGACACAGGATCTCTCTACATAGCTCAGGCTGCCCTAGAACTCACTATGTAGCCCAGGTTGATCTCTTCACTCACAGTGATCCTTTTGCTTCAGCTTCCCAAGTGTGCAGTTATAGGTGTGTACCACCACACCCAGCCTGGGATACATTTTAGAAGTTGAATTGTCAGGCCACAGAGCATTATCTTTGAAAGTTTTGCTAGCTGTTTCTGAAGTACCCTTCAAAGCAGTCGTATGAGTATCCACAGTGCCCAAGAGTACCTCTTTGCTGGGAGTTCTCATGTGTGATTGCTCCATTGTTTGTCTTTCTGTAGAACCCTCCTGTTCTTCTTTGATTTATCTCATATCTAGTGAAGTTGGGCATTGGTTTAGTTTCATTGTACAAACAGGGAGACAGTTGCTTATCTCAAGGATAAGGATAAAGCTGGCTCAGTGGGGATCACACTAGAATCGGGGAGGACAAGTCTTCATCTGGAACAATTTCTGAAGCAGCTAGAAATGCTTTAACTTTTTAAATGTCCCAATTTTTCCCCTCTTGTGGTAATGGGGATTAAAATGAAGGCCTTTGCATCGAGTTATATCCTCAGTGTTTTTTTTATTTTTTATTTTGTCACAGGGCCTCTCTCAGTTGCCCAGGCTAGGCTCAAATTTATGATCCTACTGCCTCAGCCTTCTAGAGTGCTGGGATTACAGACATACGCCACCATACCTGGCTTTGACTTTTACCTGGAATATATTTCTTCCTTTGGAGGACTATAATATTTGACCCTTTCCAGACCTTGTCCCAAATTCATATCATCTGGAAGATAATGATCAGTAGAATATTCTGTCAGTACTAAAGATAGGAAACCTAGCAGTTAGACAAAGCTAAAAGTAGCGGTCTCTAGCCATTTGAACAGAAGTCAGAGCTGTGCGCTTCCCTGACTCCTTTTATTGACCTGGTCTCTTTTTTTCCCCAGGACTCTTCTCAGGGGAGCTCCCGGAGTGTACTCAGGAGTTGATGATCGACGTCACCAAGAGCTACTACCAGAAGTTTTTGCCTTTGACACAAGTCTAGTGACTCTGCCTCAAGCCTTGAAATTGCTTGAGCTCTGAGATGAACTTGGGGACAAAGTGAGTGGTCGGCATCTAAAAGAGCTCTTGTATCTTTGCAACTTCCACCCTCTTTTCCTTTTTAATTTAGAGTTTTTCAATTGTTCAAGGCTCTAAGCTTTTAAGAATTTATTAAGAGAATGTCTGGAGGAGTTGTCTTCATGTGCTGCTTCTATCTTATCTATTAGCAGTCATACTGTACCATTATCTGTCCCCAGCACCCCAGTCCCTGGTCCTGATGGCTGGAGCCTGCCTAAAATGGGCCTGCAGAGCAGCAGTCCTTGCCCAGCAGGGAAGTCAAGGGGCTGGTGTGCTGCTCACAGCCATGCAGTACCCCACTGTGCACCCCTCCTGCAGAGAGCCTTCAGCTTGCCTGCTGCTGCTGCTGTGTTTGGCCAGTGGCTACATTTGCAACAAATTACAATTGTTTATGGTATTTGGGAAAATTCTTTATGGCTTGAGAGTCCAAATTCCTATGGCTACTAAACCGGAAGGGAAGGTAGTGTTTTTCATCTTCTCCAAATGACCTTATCTGTCCCAAGGTTAATAAGAGATTTTTTCTTTTTTTTTTTTTGGTACCGGGGATCGAACTCAGGACCTTGCACTTGTAAGGCAGGCATGGAGCCACTGAGCTAAATCCCCAGCACCATTAAGAGATTTTCTGGTACTCATTTTCTTTTTCTTTTCTTTCTTTTTCTTGAGACAGTCTCACTGTGTAGTTCAGGCTGGCCTCAAATCTATAGCAGTGATACTTTCTCAGCCTCACAAGTGCTGAGTTACAGGCGTGCACTACTACACTTGGCTTCTCATGCTGTTTTTTAGGGCTTTGGCTTTTGCTGAAAAGACAAGACCTCAGCATCCCAGTTTTTATTTATGTGAAGTTCCAGGTTGGAGTCTTCCCTGTGGCTCAGTCAGCTGGCCACTCCTTGGCATAGGTATTTGTCTCATGTCACTGAAGGTGAAGTGTTCGTGAATGCTTACTGTCCAGTCTAGAACCATTCAACCCATACTGAGTTTGCCAAAATCCCATGGTGCAGATCAAACTAACTGTGCTGGAGTCCAGTCACATGTGTGCATGTGGGGCTCTTAAAATTCTTTTGTAGGCACCAAGGCAAAAGAGTAAGTGACTTTGCCAAGGATTTTCTTACCATTCTCTGGCTGACAGCACAGTTGGCCCTTCTGGTTTTCTGACCTCTTGTTTAGAAGGAAGATTGAGAAGTGAGGGGTTGAGATCAGCCTCCCTGGTGCTCTGATCTGCTGTGAGTGAGATAGGCAGAGCAGTTTAGCCTTAAGGTTAGAACCTAGTGGGAGCCATCTTGACTTAACATCCAGGTGTGGGGTGGGCAGAAACACCTGTGTGTAATCAGTTGCACTTGTTTAGTTTAAAACTCCTCTCCAGTTTGTCATTTGTTATGTTTTGTGCATTAAAAGATTGACATATGGAACAAGTTGTGTGAAGGTGATCACTCTCCACTTCCAGTAATGGTTGCTGTTGTTGCTCAAGCATTTCACTATGTGCCTGTGTAGTACTGTAGACTTGCTGTTCATTAGCTTGCTTCTTTCTTACACTAACTCTGTAGGGTGGATGTAGTTTCCTGTTAAAAATGAGAAAAACTTGCCAGGCGTGGTGGCACATGCCTGTAATCCCAGCATTCGGGAGGCTGAGGCAGGAGAATTGCTGTGAGTTCGAGACCAGCCTGGGCTACATAGTTCCAGGTCAGTCTCAACTACATAGTGAGACCCTGTCTCCAAAAA